AGAAAATGCAGTTTTTCAGGAAACAACAGAGGCTATGCAGCAGCCACCTTTAATGTCCGGAAATGCCAAAAACGCAGAAAACAACAAGAGACCAACTAGGCAAAGGGGATTGCCTCAAAGGCTCCAAGATTGTGAAGTGTTCCATGATAATGAGATCAATAAGGATGGTGATCTCATACACTTTGCACTTATGGCCGAATCCGAACCCTTGAGTACGGAGGAGGCACTAAGTGATCCAAAGTGGGTATGTGCTATGAAGGAAGAACTGGAATTGATTGAGAAGAACAATACTTGGGAGTTGGTCGACTTGCCGGAAAGGAAGAAGCCAATCGGTGTGAAATGGGTCTATAAGGTGAAAGCGAATCCTAAAGGCGAGATAGTCAAGCATAAGGCTCGACTTGTGGCAAAAGGATTTTTTCAACGTGAAGGCATAGACTGTGAAGAAGTATTTGCACCGGTAGCTCGAATAGAGACCATCCGGCTTGTTGTTGCTATTGCGAATAATAACAATTGGCCGCTTTATCAAATGGACGTGAAATCCGCCTTCTTGAATGGTCCTCTTGAAGAAGAAGTGTATGTGGGGCAGCCACCCGGTTTTGTTGTGAAGAATCAAGAGGATAGGGTCTACAAGTTGAGAAAAACACTATATGGTTTGAAACAAGCTCCAAGAGCTTGGAACAAACATATAGATGGGTTATTACTACATGTTGGATTCAAGAAGTGTGCATCCAAACATGGTGTCTATGTGAAGAGAGATGCAAGCAAAGATGCAATTATTCTTTGCCTATATGTGGATGATTTGTTGATTACGGGCAGCAATGAAGCAAAGATCTCAAAGTTCAAAGGAGAGCTTATGGAAGAATTTGAGATGTGTGACCTTGGTGTGATGCAATACTTCCTTGGCATAGAGTTCCATAGATCAAAAGTGGGGCTGCTTATGCATCAAAGGAAGTATGCACTTGAGATACTAAAAAGGTGTGAAATGGAGCATTGTAATGCGACAATTACACCAATGGAAGCAAGGTTGCAGCTGTCCAAGAGTGAGGATGAACAAGATTTAGATCCAACTCAATATAGGAGGTTGATTGGATCACTAAGGTACTTGTGCAATACCCGGCCAGATTTGGCATTTAGTGTCGGAATTGCAAGTAGGTTCATGGAGAGGCCTAAGGTATCACACTTGGCTGCAATCAAGAGGATTCTAAGATACATCAAAGGAACTCTTGGTTGTGGAATACTTTTTCCCGCAACGGATAATGGCGGTAAATGCGAATTACTTGGTTATACCGATTCTAGTTGGTGCGGAGATAAGGATGATAGGAAGTCAATGGCCGACTATCTTTTTATGTTCGAAGGAGCACCAATCTCTTGGTGTTCTAAAAAGGAACCGGTGGTAGCACTCTCTTCTTGCGAGGCTGAGTATGTGGCTGCGTCATTGTGTGCGTGCCAAGCGGTGTGGCTTATGAACCTATTGAGAGAATTGGACAGCAGCTTTGAAAGTGTTGTCACATTGATGGTTGATAACATTTCAGCCATCAATCTAGCCAAGAATCCCATTGCACATGGGATAAGTAAACATATCAAAATGCGCTTTCACTACCTAAGGGATCTGGTGTGTGCTGGGCAGTTGAGGTTAGCCTACTGCAGAAGTGAAGAACAAATTGCGGATTTGTTGACGAAAGCGGTTTCAAATGATGTGTTCAAGCAGCTATTGAGGAGTTTAAACATAAGAAATGTGGAGCATTTATCTTAAGATGGTGTGTTGATGTTTGAGTAAGATAAATGCAAGGGAATAAAGCTCAGAAGCTAGTTTGAAGAAACAACTTAAATGGATAAGCTGTTTGAAGGCTGCAGCAAACAGTGCAGGAATTGAAATTTTCAGTTTTGACAGTTTGTTTGTTTGTTTTGTTTGTTACATGTTTAGCACTATATAAGGGAATGTATTGTAGTGTGTAACATTTTGATACACCATTGTGAATAAAACTTCTCAATTCTCCTTAATTATCTCTCTCTCTCTCTCTCTCTTTCTCTCAATTTAATCTTCATCTTTTCCATTTTCCCTTTCCACCATTTTTATCCACCCTCCATTGTTTTGTGTTCTAACAACAAAGTATGTCATTGATTAGTTTTACAAGTAATTGAAATCTGAAAGAAAAAAAAAAGTGAGAAAGATAGTAGGTTTTCAATTTTTAGAAGAGAGTAATATGGGTATCAATTGTTATTGCATATTCCAAATGCAATGTCGTTTTGATGCACGCAAGATGTATGATGTTATGCCTAAATAAAGTTTGCAATTCTTAACAGTACAATAAAGCAATTGTTGAACAACTACATTAAGCATCTTGAAAACAGACATTTAATCTGAGAACAAGATAACGATACTCGGCAATATGAATAAGGGTTAATCAGTATGAGCATTGTTAAATCTTTAATTTTGCAAAAGATAGTATTTTTCTCAAACCTTGTAAAATGAACATTTGATGATGCAGAGGAAATCACAATAACTGAGGGTAGTATAATCTCAAAAAGGCTTCAGTTGAGAATTAAAATAATTCAACCGATAATTCTTCAAATTAAAAAATATTACGCAAATGAAATAAATAACATCAGCAAAGAGAAAGAATTAAGAGACGCACATGCTCGTCCATATCATTCTGATAGGATTTAAGAACCTTTTTCCATTTTATAAGTATGACATTTACATTCTGAATCAAGCCATCTGAAAAATTCATCCCAAATACAGTCATAAAATCATTAAGCAACCACTAAGAATATTAAATATAACTATGGCCAACATGTTTACAGTGTTACAGAGTAAAATTAGATGGTAAGAACCATTTAGCATTACCTCACAGGATTTGCGCGAAACAACCAACATCAAGGTACTTGTCATAAACAAAAATTTCAGCAAAACCATATATAGAGCAAGTTTTTTATAGTGGTTTTCAAAGAATTCCAAAATGAAATAAAACTTGAAAATAGTGGAAATGAATTTATGTATTCAATCCTCAGATGGTTCTTTCCACTAGAAACTATTAATTAATTGATAACTCATCTCTGACAACACCTGCATGAAGTATCTTTCAAACCGTTTGAAGTTTAAATTAAGGTTGCTATAAATTAGCTACAAATTGGTTATCATTTCTAGGTTTTAGATATGATGTTAGTGTAAAATAAAAACAATTGACACGTGACATTCATTTCAGCATTTTTATCACGTTGACATTGCCACATGTATGCCACATCATCAAAAAAATTCCACATGACATTGCTACATAAGTCTCTGTGAGTGAAAACTAACATAAGAGACCACATATAGAGACAGAAAATTTTGTGAGATTCATTATTTAAAAAAAAAATTAAAAAACTAAACTTAAAAGTTAGCATATTTATAGCAACCTCACATATATATATATATATATATATATATATATATATATATATATATATATATATATATATATATATATATATATATATATATATATATATATATATATATATATATATATATATATATATATATATATATATATATATATATATATATATATATATATATATATATATATATATATATATATTTAACTCTTTCTAAATACTTCTCAAAACTGTTTATTAGTTTGTTGAAATTGATTAAAATGACTTTTATTATAATAGAGAAAAAATCTATCAACTTTAAAAGTAGTAAAATATATTTATTTAAAAGTAGTAAGAAATATATTTAATGTCATTTACTTTCTTTTTTTTCGGAATTTAATGTCATTTACATAGCGGTTGACAAATCTATTTTATTTAAAGCTAAAAACGTTATCATTCTAATAACAATAAAAATAAAAATAAAACAGGGTTCCAATCATCATAACCAAATCAACGTTAATTCTATATAAATCACTTAACATTAAATTAATCAGTATTTGTATTTCACATTGTGAAGCGTTCACCGCGAGAATTTTTTACCCCAATGCCATGGTTTGAAAAAATAAGTACCAAATTGCCACTGTATGAAAATAAAGTGCAGAAAAGCCACAATTATAGGTCGGGTATGTCCATTCAAAGGACGAACCAATGAAAGATCTTTTTGTGAAGTTGGGGTTCGGCCATCCAATGGCCGACCCTTTACTACGTTATTTTTTTATATTTTATTTTAGAAATAAAAATATTATATATATTATTATTTTATATTTTAAATTATTTTTTATATATTAAATTCTTTTATATGATTTAAAATAATAATAAATAAAAAATTTAATTAATTTAAATAATTTTTTAAAATTATTAAATATTTTTTACATTATCTAATTAATTATTTAACTAATAAAATATTTAATAATATTAAAAAATTATTTAAATTAATTAAATTATTTATTTATTATTATTTTAATAAATAAAAATAATAATAATATATATAATATTAAAAGAATAATAATTTATTAATAATATTAAAAAAATTTATTAATAAAAAACAATTTAATAATTTATTAATAATATTAAAAGAATTTAATATATAAAAACAATTTAAAATATAAAATAATAATATATATAAATCACTTAACATTAAATTAATCAGTATTTGTATTTCACATTGTGAAGCGTTCACCGCGATCCTCGTTCGTATTATACTTCGTATTTTCCTCTCTTCGCAAAACATTCCCCAAATTGTTTAATCTTCTACGCATTCTTCCTCTTTCAGCATCTCAATTTATTGAAGATTCAGCAAAAACTAGTTCCGAATTGCAGTTTTTTCTTCTCTCTTTTCATCCCAAACAGGTATTTCTTGCTCAATCATCCAGATCCATTCGTAATTTATGCATGTTTTGTTTATGTTTTGTAATTATGTGTGTTTTTGATGAATATGAAGTTAGTGTTCGTAGATCGTGGTGAGTACAATTTGCATGATATGATTAGGAAAGAGTGATTTTTAGTTGAAAATGTTGATTAAGAGTGATTAAAGTGATGAAAATATATGATTAATGTTGATTAGACTCTGTTTATGCAGGATGAAGGCAGGGTTTAGTGGATTAAAGGGTAAAGAAATTTCTCTTATTTCCATTGTTTTAATGTGTAGTACTATTATTTTATGGTCATGGGAAAGAACACCTGGTCTTTCTGCCTTTCTTCCTCCCCAGTCACCATTGCACGTGTATTCAGGTATACTTCCATCTGTATTATTATTATTACTTGAAATTCTATCAATTTGAGAGATTTATTTTCTATTTGTTTCATGAAAGTAACAGTATGTGTATTTGCTGTTAAGGAGTATGTCACTTAAATGCAAAAATAAGGGAGGTTAGTGTCAATCTAAAAACTAAAGGGGGGTGTTTATGATGCTTAGGTAGAACTTTTAGGGGAGGTGAGTGCAGTGTTGTTGATGGTGGTCCATGGCGGAGAGGCAAAATCCTGCCATACCGGCCGCTTTGCAGCGCCGTTATAGTGGAAAACCCCGCAATATTGGCTTATATTTACCATTACGCCGAGCTCAAAAAGCTTACAGGGTGCAATAACTGTCTGGCATAGTTTTTTCTCCTGTGTGGCAATGTACGTACCCTTCATCTTGCCTGTCCTACCTGCTTTTGTGCATTCAAATGTGCTGGTATTGTTGGATATCTAGTTGAGTAGAGATATGGCCAAAGCAGTCGTTATGAGGTTTGGACAATCCTCACTCCATGAGCAAACTTTGGGAGGAGTTAGGCCCAGTCCAAGTTTTAAAATGGGATTGACGCTCTCAGAATCTAGTGTCGATGACCAAAGTTGATGAATGGACCAATGACTAGATAGTAGGTTTCTAATTTGGGACTTTTTAGGTTTTCTGACTTGGGACTTTTGAGTTTCTAATACCAAATTGCATTTAGAGAGAAATACATGAATTATTCTGAATGACTAGAGAGATAGACCGACTCTCATTATGTTTGTTTTATAATAAAATAGGTTAGACTAAGTCCCTTGATTAAGTAGGGATAAAATAAATCTTAAATCATTTCTACATCTGTCCTACTAATTACAACATAATATTCACATAGGATATATTAATAGAGTATTTCAAATATATCAGCAGAAATGTAAAAATAATAGAGAAAGAAGAATCCTAGTCACAAATTCATAATCCTAATCTTCCATGCAACTCTTTCACAAACATCAATATCATCCGCCTTCTCAATGAGTTGTGCTGAAAGGCCTTAACCTACGAACCACACTGCAACAATATTCTACGAATCTAAAGTTTTTATCATTCAACCTTTCGGTGGTAATGGTGGGAGGCACTGAAAAACAAAGGAAATTTAACATTTCTTAGAGGCTCCAGCCTTGGAGATTCAGCTATGGAAAACTGAACTCAGACCTGTAAGAAACAAGGGCAGAAAAACAAATAAATTGAAGCCCTAAAAACACAAACTCCAGGCAAGAAAAGACATGCCAATCACTAGATGCAAATGAGAAGTTGATGATGAGTCAATTGAGATTAGCAGGGGAGACACTGACAACTGGACGACAGTGTGTAGTTTGCACTTTGCATGTACACAAAGAACTTTTCCTGAACACTGCACATGGGTGTGGCCGTGTGGCGACGACACATTGAACAGAATTACTATTACAATCAACAGTTATTATCATCCAAAATTATTAGCTTATCTTCATGCAACCAAGATTTAAAGTTCATCCTCACTATGAAATGTCTGCATTATTCTCAGTCCTTTCTACACCATGTTTGCATTTTTGCAGATCATTTAGTTAGCAGGTCTTCAGGGAAGGCACCAGATCTACATAAACATGTGTCTCAACACGACTCATCAATCCCAAAGAAAGAGATTACTGATGAGCTACAAGAAAAAGATCTTGGTTTAGCATCTCAGACAATATCTGCACAAAGCTCTTCTGGAAAGAGCATGGGCGAAAGTATCACCAATACTACTTCGCATATAGAACGTAAGTAAGATGTTGCTTTCTTTATTCCTTTATGGTTCTCTAAAGTGTTTGCAATGCTTCATATGTAGTACAATATTATGAGTCCAACAAGGACATGTTGACCCCTGTATATGGTGCCACATTTATTTACTTATCTTGTTCGTTACTATAGTAATCTGAGTCCTGCACACCACCCACCATTGTGTTAAAGCAAGATGGTATGGTTAAATAAAAAATAATATTAGATGCAGAGAACTAAAATGCATCATATTCTTGGAGGTGTTGTCACCTGTCATCCTTTTTAGCAATAAAACCCTTACCACGTGACATGGTTTTCCTTTCTCTTTGTTAATCTTATTCTCATGTTATCTTCTCGGAGCATAAATCTCTTTCATTGTGATGGTATAGAGATCCCGTCAAGTGTGTCCAATGAAGAAATAAAACATGAAAAACTTTTGGAAGCTGGGAAAAGCCATGGTATACAAACTTCTTCTAACCTAACAACATCTGAGGCTAAAAGTAATGAAGCTAAGGGGGAGAGTAATTCCAAACAAGAAGAACCTAAAATAGATCTTGTCATGAACAATCCACAAAAAAGCTCTTTACCTGTCACAAAAGAAAGCTGGAATAATGCTACAGAAAACAATGGTACTTTTCTTTTGCTTATCATCAATGAAATTCTATTGAAACATTCACTTTCTTTCGGATGCATCATGCTGATGCATGTTTTTCAACACGTTTTATAAAACTGAGCTGCTTTTCAAAGAATATCTCTGAATTTTTATAAGGAACCAATTTTTCTTATTGTTTCTAAAGAAAGGTTGAACATCATAGGTCAAAGAAAACTGATAAATGTTCTTCAATTTATTTTCTAACGAAAGCCTTTCTAGTGAAGTGTGTCTTCTAATTTTTTCTAGGAAACTATTTTTCTTTTTGATTTCTTAAGACATCTTGAAACCTTTTATAATTATCATAAAGCAATGAATCACAAATTCTCTAAATTCTCTGCTGAATCGCACCTGATGCACTGTGATACGGTGTCAATACGCATAAAAAATATATCCATTAAATAATAAATAAATTAGGATAGGCCGTGATATGGAGGCGATACGCCGAGATGCACTATTGAAACTTCTCGGATATGCCACACATGCAGCCTGTTTATCTCATGAGAGTTCAATTTTCCAATACATGAATCAAACATTCCCATCCTTATTCACTCTTCTTTAATTACCTCTTCTCTCTCCTATATAATTTGTTATGCACCCATTTACTATTCTCTCCATGGTTACCATTTTTCAAGAATCAAGATTGGTTTCTTTTTCTCATAATTTCATTTTCATAAGATTTGGAACATTTGATGGTGTTGTTGGAACTCTTGAAATTTCATCATTGTCTCTTGATGAATCAACTTGAAAGCTGCTCTATTTACTGATGATGGTGAAGGAGGAGGCGACATTGATGCTATTCCAATATCTTAGTTTAGATTTAATATTTAGTAATGTGTTAAAAGTTGTGTTATAAGTTTGGTTTTTGTTAGACAATGATTTAACTGATGTCTAATTTTAATTTTTTATATACGTATCTTAAATGTATCATATCCTATACTTTTCAATGAGTGACATATCACCATATTGGACACGTATCGTATACATACCCGGTACTCGTATATGTATCTGGTACTCATATCGTGTCCGTGCTTCATTGTGATAAAGTTAGACTAACAAACAGTATATTTGTGCGTGTTGCTAACAAATGGATGTTCTCTTGTTGACTTTTTCTCCAGCCTGTAACTATGCAAAAGGAAAATGGGTCCCAGACAACAAAAGGCCTTTGTATTCAGGTTTTGGTTGCAAACAGTGGCTCTCTCCGATGTGGGCCTGCCGCATGATGCAACGTACCGATTTTGCATATGAGCAGCTTAGATGGCAACCAAAAGATTGTCAAATGGAGGAGTTTGAAGGTTCTAAATTCTTGAAAAGGTATTTCGTTCTCATGCTCCATGCATAAGGATTGGACCCGGGTGCTGTCCTTGGGAACATTTCATTGAATTTATGTTGAACATAGTGATTTTTCAATTCCTTTTGCCCATAAGCTCATTTGAAACGACACAGCAGGAGATGCTTGAATGCTTCTCGATTTACTTGAAAGACAGTTGGTATGCTTCGGTTGGGGCATGTGTTATCATGACAGTGTCATGCTACTTGAAAGAAAGCTATAAATGTATAATAATTGTTAATCATTATGTATTCAGGATGCAAAACAAAACTCTAGCTTTTGTGGGAGACTCATTAGGCCGGCAGCAGTACCAGTCTATGATGTGCATGGTATCTGGTGGTGTAGAGATGAGTGATGTTGAAGACGTGGGTAAAGAGTATGGATTGATTGTAGCTGAGGGCTCTGCCCGTCCTAATGGGTGGGCGTACCGTTTTTCAAGCACTAATACTACCATTTTGTACTACTGGTCGGCAAGCTTATGTGATGTTGAACCTATTGATGTAAACAACCCAAACACAGATTATGCAATGCACCTTGATCGTCCCCCAGCATTCCTGCGTCAATTTCTACACAAGTTTGATGTCCTGGTTCTCAACACAGGTCATCACTGGAATCGAGGAAAACTAAATGCCAATCGATGGGTAATGCATATTGGTGGAGTGCCAAATACTGATAGGAAGCTAGCAGTGATTTGGGCTGCCAAGAATCTTACAATTCGCAGCGTTGTTAGTTGGGTAGATTCGCAGCTTCCAAAACATCCAGGTTTGAAGGTATTTTTCCGAACCATTTCTCCTAGGCATTTTTTCGGTGGGGAATGGAACACAGGAGGCAGTTGCGACAACACTAAACCAATGTCGGTGGGAAAAGAAATACTGGAAGAGGAGTCCAGTGACCCAGTTACTGCAAGTGCGGTGAAGGGAACACGAGTCAAGCTCTTGGACGTAACAGGTCCTTCTCAGCTTAGGGACGAGGGTCATATATCACGGTACAGCTTAACAGCAAAGCCTGGTATGCAGGATTGCTTACACTGGTGTTTACCAGGTGTTCCTGATACATGGAATGAAATGCTTTTTGCTCAAATCTAGTCTGCACATCATAGTTTCAGGAGAGTATTTATTTGGCCGCGAAAAGGTGAAAGCCATTCCTTGGCTAGGAAAATATCACTTTTGTGGAGGATGCAGTCATAGTGCTAAGCTATACTATGTCCTGAGTTTGAATTGTAGAGCTGATTTGGCAAGACATTGGAGATATAGCGTGCACAACTAGTTATACCGCCCTGCCTAAAAATATCTTTGTAAATTAGTTACTTTCTTTGTATGCTCCCTTGTGTGCCCTCAGCTGAAAAGAATGGTAGATAGTCAAAGTTGTTGCAGTAGAGGGTTGCTGGAGGATTGTTACTAAAGTGAGTTCTTAGCCTTTGTTGAGGATTAAATCAACATAGGACAAGATGTTGGTGCTCTCCCTCCTTTTAATATTTTTTCGGGGAGGGGGTTGGAACAGAATAGTATGTTGTTAGTCTCAAATTTTATTACACGTTATAGAGAAGCCAAAGCATGCCTTGATTCATGCTGTGTTGAATATATTGAATATTATCTTCTGCAATACAGTTCACATATGATAATATTAAAAGTTGGGTCTCTGTTTGCTGTAATAGATTTAGAGTTTACAGCTTATTATTTTGTGTTTCAATTTTACTTCTATTATCCAAAATGATGACCGATTTCAACACGCAAAAAATCCCCTACACATCTGTCAATAAAAGATCCCCTACGCAAAATGATGGCCCACCATCACCGCTTAGAATATAATTTATAATTCGTGAATGAGTCATCTTTATTTTGAGTTCATCTTATGACTCTAGATGGAAATGATGAGGTTTTCAAGAATTAGTACATTCAAGTTTTATTGAATATCAATAACTCAGTCTTTAACAACAATATATTTTATTGATCCTATGAAAAATATGGCTCGTGGGAGAGGGAGAGGACGTGGGCGGCCAAGTTTGGTGCCACCGTCAACAACCAATTCAATGATCCTATGAAAAATATGGCTCGTGGGAGAGGGAGAGGACGTGGGCGGCCACGTTTGGTGCCACCGTCAACAACCAATTCAATGATGACTGACTAGAATGCTACGGAGAAGGAACACTATGGGAATGACGAACTGCAAACTGCAACTTTGGAGTGTGGTAGCCAAGCAGGGGAGGAAGAAGGGACAACTGCTATCGAAATCCTAAATCACTTGATTACTAAAGAAGCCAAGAATGGGGTGGAAGTGAGCCAAACGAAGAAGCTCTGGGTTGACATTATCAATGAAAATCGTAACCCGGCGAAGGGACTTACCATGGAATTTATTGCACCAAAGATTGTTGATGGAGAAATGGAAATTCAGATTGAAGAAGCGGATGTTGAAACTGAAGTGAAATTCTGGGAATCCGCTCTCATTATGTATGTCTTGGGTGTTGACCTAAGCATGAATGCGGTGAAACAGTTCATGAGCAAAACCTGGAACTTTGTGAAACTACCTGATATGTTCTACAATGAGGAAGGTTTCTTCATTCTTAGGTTCCACTCATTCCACGACAAAGACTTAGTTCTGATGAAGGGGCCATACTCAATTCGTAATCGACATATGATGCTACGTGAATGAAAACCTGATTTTAGTATGAACAAGGATATGCTTAGAACAATACCGTTATGGGTGAAGCTACCCCAACTCCTCCTTCATCTTTGGGGGGCGCAAAGCCTTAGTAAAATAGGAAGTGCGATTGGAACTCCGCTGGTGACTGATGAATATACGGCAAACAAACTCAGGGTCTCCTATGCACGAATCCTTGTTGAAGTTGATGTTACACAAGAGTTAAAAACAAAAATCCTAATCAGAGATGAAAAGGGGGCGTGATTGAAACAATTGAATGAGTATGAGTGGAAACCATCATACTGCCAACGATGCCATAAAGTGGGGCATAACTGTGACAAGCCTGCAAAACCTGCTAAAGAATGGAGGGTGAAGATTCAAGTGCAGCCACAAAAGGAGAATGAGAAAGACAAGACTATTGCAAGTGTAACATCAGGATAAGTCATAACGAATGAAGAGATCCAACAGCCTGCGAATGAGGTATGGACGAGGATAACTAGCAACAGTAAAGGGAAAGGGAAAGGACTTGCCAATGAGGAGGGATCTATCCAATGCCAAAATGGATTTGGGATGTTGGGGATTTTGAATGATCATGCTAGCAACTTTAACATCCCATGTTAGTTTCATGGAATGTGAGGGGCCTGAATAAGATGGTTAAGACTAAAGAGGTTAGCTCCCGCCTCCGTTCTCTTAACCCTATGATTTGCATTTTGCTTGAAACAAGAGTGAAGCAGGAAAAGGCTGACAAAATTAGATGTAAATTGAGGCTTAAAGGTAGTTTTTTGGACAACTATACTAACCATGTGAATGGTAGAATCTGGATCTGGTGGAACAATGCTAAAACTGAGATAAGGAAAGTTACAAGCTCTGGTCAAATGGTTCACTGTGGTGTCTATGATATGAATGGGGTGTTCCAGTTCTGGCTTACAACTGTGTATGGTGCTAACAGGTTGGACCATCGTAAGGAATTATGGAATGAGATTGAGCACATTCATCAGAACCAACAGGGGTTGTGGTTTATTGTTGGTGATTTTAACAATGTAATTCGAACAGCTGACAGAAGAGGTGGATCCATGGTGCAAGTGAAAGAATACAAAGCCCTTACTGATATGTTGAACAATTGTAACCTTAGTGAAATGGATATTGTTGGTGATTACTATACTTGGTCCAATCGGCAGGGTGAAAACATCATACACTCTAGAATTGATCATGGTCTGGCCAACACAGAGTGGTTCAAAAATATATTAATATGTCTCTTGAGGCACTTACCCCTGGTATCTCTGACCATGCTTTGCTGCTGCTTACGGGACCTGAAACTGTTGTGCATAGAACCTCCTAATTCAAGTTCCTAAACGGTGTAACTGAAGTTAAGGGTTATCAGGAGGACATTTCCAGAAGCTGGAATGCCCCTATCCATGGCAGCCCTATGTTTGTGTTATGGAGAAAACTGCTTAGAACCCAATGTGTTGTGAAGAAACTTAGCAAGCCTTTGGTTGGTGCCACCTCTACTCTCAAGCATGCTAGACAGAATTTGCTGGAAGCCCAAATGCATCTCAGGGACAACCTTGATAACCCTGAAGTGATTCGGCTAGTTAAGACTAGGTCTACTGAGGTTGTCTATTGGAGTGAAATTGAGGAGCAGGTTCTTAGCCAATGATCCAAAATCAGTTGGCTCAGATTGGGAGATGGAAACAACAGATTTTTTCATGCCCAAGTTAAGACCAGGCAGAACAGTAGTAGCATTTCTGAGTTGTGTACTATGGTTGGTGACATCCTTAACACCACTGAGGAAATTGAGAATGAGGTGTTGTCATTTTATGGTAATCTCATGGGGATTTCTAATGGTGACTTGGAGGGAATCAACCCAACTGCCATGAGGGATGGGCCACAAATTACTGGGGAGCAGAGAACTATACTGGACTGTCCCATCACTGAAGCTGATATTATTAGTGCAATCAAAGATATTGGTGACTTGAAAGCTCTTGGTGTTGATGGGTTTGGGGCCAAATTCTTCAAAGCCTCTTGGAGCATCATTAAGGAGGATATCACTACTGCTGTTATGGACTTTTTCAACAACTTCAAAATGTATCCAGCTGTCAACTGCACTCTTGTTTCTCTGGTTCCCAAAGGAAATGGTGGGAATTGTGTAAAGGATTTCAGACCTATATCATGTTGCACCACCATTTACAAAATCATATCAAAAATCTTGACGAGAAGATTGAGTACAGTCCTTACCAGAATTATTAACCAAAGTCAGGCGGCTTTTATTCCTAGGCAGAACATCCATGAGCATATTTTGTTAGCTTATAAGCTAATCCAAGGCTACAGCAGGAAAAGCAGTACTCCTAGATGTCTACTGCAGCTTGACATCCAAAAAGCTTATGATACCTTGGATTGGAATGCACTTGAGTGCATCCTCAAGGAATTGGGTTTCCCTAAAAAATCCACCAAATAGGTTATGTTGGCAGTGTCTACAGTGTCCTACAAATTTAAGGTTGGTCATAACATTACTAGAAGTATGAAGGCTAAAAGGGGGCTACGGCAAGGGGACCCTATTTCCCCCCTCCTCTTTGTCTTAACTATGGAGTATTTTCACCGTTTACTACACCAATTAAGAAAGGTACCGAATTACAATTTCCATGCTAAATGCGAAAAGATGTAAATCATCAACATCAGGTTTGCTGATGATGTTCTTCTCTTCACCCGTGGGGATGCCCAATCTGTGAAGTTGCTCATGGCTAATCTGCATATGTTCTCTCAGTTCACGGGGTTAGTTGTGAACCCTGTAAAGTGCAAGGTGTATTTTAGGGGGGTTGATAATGAGACTAAAATGAATATTTTGGATTCTACTTCTTTTATGGAAGGTGATCTTCCGTTTTGGTACCTGGAGATTCCCCTCACCAGCAAAATACTTTCAGCACAACATTACATGAGTTTAGTTGATAGAATTGTTGGCTGGATCCGGCACTGGAGTTCTAAGCTTTTGAGCTACGCAGGCATAATTCAATTGGTGAACAGTGCCATCACTACTATGGCAGCCTACTGGATGAACTGCCTTCCTTTCCCCAACAGTGTGATAAAATCTATCAACACGATCTGCAGAACGTTTTTATGGACAGGCAGCGAGTCGAAGTCGATAAAATCCCCTATTGCTTGGAAGATGGTCTGTAAGCCTCGGAAAAATGGAGGATTGAATGTGTTGGATCTGTATGAGTGGAATAAAGCCTGTTTAGCTAAATTGCTTTGGAACCTTTGTAATATGAAGGACTCCCTTTGGGTGAAGTGGATTAATTCCTTTTACTTCAAATCTACTAATATTATGCAGGTCCAGGAAAAACAGTGTATGTCATGGATTTTCAAAACTATTCTGAGGCATAGAGACATCATGACAGACATGGAAGATTGGAACGATATTAAGGTGAAATACTCTGTCGGTAAAGTCTATCAA